GAGCTGATACAGAGTGACCAACTTCACTTTTGCGAAAATTTTTTTGTTGAATATAAAGAAGGAAAATAAGTAAAACAAACGCAAAAGGGATTATTGAAGGCATATACATATGTATTGCAGTTTTAGGAACTCGCCGTCACCCATCGGAAGCGAAGGCCATCACCGCCATGGACGCATCCACTTTTCCGCCTTTCCACGAAATCGGAGAAGATAGCTTCGGGACGAATTTCGATTTAAAAAGCTATGACCAAACGGTCCTCTTTAGGGCCAACAATTGACCCAACGGCCCTCTTTAGGGCCACAGATACGATGAACACAGCGGCATAAATATTCGAAATAAACGTGTCAATGAAATGGTGTATTTTGAAGTGAAACTCAACGACACTCTACAGATTTTATTAAGTAAATTTAGTTATGTCGTACTGCGAAGAAAGTAGGTCGATCCAGGAAGTATTTGCCGAGAACCAGAATTTTGAATGAAAAAATAACCAGAAATCATGCAAAATTGCCACTGTTATAAACCAAGTGGTTGAAGATGTCAGCAACTGCGACTTCATAGGTTTCAAAGGGTAAGTGATGCTCTAACAGATAGTGAAAGAATCGGGTCGATCTGAGCAGTGGTCGCTGAGAACGAGAATTCTGAAAAATTAGGCGATTTTAGGCTAATTTTTGACTGCTGACATTTGAACTCCTAAAACTTTTGATTGTGAAGATGTGTGATGTTGCGACTTCATAGGTTTTCTAGGGTAAGGTTTGCCCTACTAGAATATATCTTACCCGTACCAATTCATCAAAGCACCGCCGAGATCCAGGCTCTTGAAAAAGCAGGTAAAAAACAGCTTTTTGAACTTCAACAGCTCGTAACTTCTCCAGAACTGCATGAATCATGTTGCGACTTCATAGGTTAGATTCCTCTCATCAAGGGCTTTCAGATGATATATGATATGTGGGAGTTTCGCGCCTCTTACGGCATATGCCCGGGGGGGGGGAGACTTTTTAGGCCAAAGTCTCCCCTGGCGGCCTCCAGCCAATACATTAAAATGGGCGAGGGGGAGACTTTGGCCTAAAAAGTCTCCCCCCCCCCGGTCATACGTCGAAGAAGGCCCCAAACCCCCATATATCATATATCATCTGAAAGCCCTTGATGAGAGGAATCTAACCTATGAAGTCGCAACATGATTCATGCAGTTCTGGAGAAGTTACGAGCTGTTGAAGTTCAAAAAGCTGTTTTTTACCTGCTTTTTCAAGAGCCTGGATCTCGGCGGTGCTTTGATGAATTGGTACGGGTAAGATATATTCTAGTAGGGCAAACCTTACCCTAGAAAACCTATGAAGTCGCAACATCACACATCTTCACAATCACAGTTTTAGGAGTTCAAATGTCAGCAGTCAAAAATTAGCCTAAAATCGCCTAATTTTTCAGAATTCTCGTTCTCAGCGACCACTGCTCAGATCGACCCGATTCTTTCACTATCTGTTAGAGCATCACTTACCCTTTGAAACCTATGAAGTCGCAGTTGCTGACATCTTCAACCACTTGGTTTATAACAGTGGCAATTTTGCATGATTTCTGGTTATTTTTTCATTCAAAATTCTGGTTCTCGGCAAATACTTCCTGGATCGACCTACTTTCTTCGCAGTACGACATAACTAAATTTACTTAATAAAATCTGTAGAGTGTCGTTGAGTTTCACTTCAAAATACACCATTTCATTGACACGTTTATTTCGAATATTTATGCCGCTGTGTTCATCGTATCTGTGGCCCTAAAGAGGGCCGTTGGGTCGCAGTTATTGGCCCTAAAGAGGACCGTTGGGTTAGAGCTCTTCAGTTGTCCGAAGTCATCATGAAGCTTTGCTCTATCGTAGAAAGTGCTGAGGCGTATATGCGTCCATGCCGGTGATGACCTCCAGTTCTCGCAGAAGGCGACGGCGATTTCCTAAAAATAAACTACATAGAATATGCTCTCAATACTTTCTTTTGCGTTCGTTTTGCTTAATTTCCTTTTTTTTCAGTTTCAGCAAAAAAATCAATACCCAAAAGTCCGAAAAAAAAACCCAAACCAAAAAAAAACCCAAAAAACCCAGTTCAAAGTCCGTCCTGTGCCCCCCTCCTCTCTACCCCCCACCACCGGTCAACGTTTTTGAGAGGTGAGTGTCCGGCACTACCACCTTCATTTTTGCTGCCCTGTGGTAGCTGCGACCCCCCCCCCCCCGGTCGACATTTTTGGGAGGTGAGTGTCCGGCACTACCACCTTCACTTTTGACCGGCCAGTGGTAGCTGGAACCACCTTCACTTTTGGGGGGCCCGGCTCCACCTATCGCACCTCTGATTGCGATGCCAGAGAGCAATGGAAAGGCCGATGTTTCTATAGATACCACAAATCTTCAACTTAGATTTGTTCTCTATAACAAAGCTGAAGGATGTATTAAAGGCAGTGGACAGGCAGAATGGACCCCTGTCAGATTTTGATAGTTTTGGGTACTAGACCCCTCAAGTACACCGTAGCCCCAACCCCACAATACAATTCATGCGCTAAGTCCTAAAAAAATCCCTTCAAAACCCCACCAGCCCCGCCCACTTCCATTGAATGGGCGTTTTTGGTGGAATTTTGAAGCGCTTTTTAGGACTTAGCGCATAAATTGGAAGGTGGGGTTGGGGCTACAGTGTGCTTGGGGGGACTACTACATAAAACTACCAAAATGTGATAGGGGTCCATTTTGCCTGTCCACTGCCTTTAACAGCGGCACGGCAAAGGAAGTGGCGTTTTGCTGGGAGAATTTATAAAATACAAGGCGAAGAAAGATGGACACAAATTCTCACGCGCTGGATACTATCTGTTGGACAACGATTTTGAGATGGCAGATCAAGAACTAGATGCGAAGACGATATACGGAAGCACTGTTATCTTTGAATCTGCTTTTAGATGGCAAGAAAAAGTTGTGGATTCTAGCCAATAGAGGCAACTATAACGCATATATATGACAACATACTGATTAACAGAAGCTTCAGAAAAAACCACCACGGTATTTATCACTAATATGTATAACCGTTGAGTATGAATAAAAGATAAAAGATGATCTATATATATATATATATATTAGGTTGGTCCGAAAGTTCTGTCCCACCATTTTCAAAAAATCGTAACTTCTTCCTATCACAGTGTTTTTGCAAGAGTAAAACCACATTGAAAACAGCAACTCATGCACTTTCTAAAACTATCTTGGCTGCTCTCTACTAAGCTCTGAAAGCAGAGATAAAATTGGGAAAACGAAATCACTTCGAGTTCGGAATTTTTAAGCAAGCCCGTTAAAAAATCTAGAACTGTGCCATAAAATCCAAAACAGCCAGTATCCTAGACTATTTTACCCCTCTTTTTGGCTGAGCAAAGTTCGCGCTGATTTAGCTGTTTTCCGAAAAGTTATGATTTTTTGAAAAAAATGTCAAAAAATCATTTTTTTTAAGAAACTGATTTTTTGGCATTTTTTCTTGAAAATCATAACTTCTTTCAAAAAGGCTCGATCAGCGCGAATTTTGCTCAGCTGGAAAGAGGGGATCAAAATACCTAGGTTACTAGCTGTTTTGGATTTTATGACACATTTTGGATTTTTCACAAGGCTTGCTTAAAAATTCCGAAATTGAAGTGATTTCCTTTTTCCAATTTTTTCTCTGCATTCGGAGCTTAGTGAATAGCAGCCAAGGTAGTTTTAGGAAGTGCACGAATCGCTGTTTTCAAAGTGGTTTTACTCTTGCAAAAACATTGTGTGAGGAAGAAGTTACGATTTTTTGAAAATGGAGGGACAGAACTTTCGGACCAACCTAATATATATATATATATATATATATATATATATATATATATATATATATATATATATATATATATATATATATATATATATATATATATATATATATATATATATATATATATATATATATAAAACTCAAAAATTGTCAGTTTGGAGGGTATGTGCGTTATAGAAACGCGCGCCACTCAACCGATTCAGCTGAAACTTTGCAAACATATGTTTTCGACCCTTGCGCAAATGATAGGCTACTTTTTGCGGCGATTCGTTGGGTTCTTCTATCGATTTATTGATTTGTTTACATTTTCCTAAGGAAATAAAGGGTTATCATGTTCAATCAAGCATTTTCCATACTCATGTAAAGGAGGGCGGTGAAGCTCATTTTCACCTCAGGATCACGATGCGGTTTCCAAGCGGATGTCCCAGGGTAAGTCATCCATACCATATAGGGCGGGGAGAGGGGGGGGGGGGCTCGCAGTGCGGTGAACCATGGCCCGGGCTGGACCGGGAAAGCCAACTAGTTAATATATAAAACTCAATGTCTGTGAGGATGTTCGTTTAGTTGTTCGTTCGTTATAGAAACGCGCGCCACTGAACCGATCCGGCTGAAACTTCGCACACGTATGTTTTCGACCCCGGCGGTGGTTTAGAGCTACTTTCCGCGGCGATTCGCCGGGGCATTCTATCGATTTATTGATTTGTTTACTCAAACCTAAGAAAATGAAGGGCCATCACGGCAACCGATCATTTTTACATATAAGCATGTAAGCAGAAGCGGTAAAGTCCATTTCAGTCTTAAAGCCGGTAGGGTGCGGTATTTAGTCTGAAAGCGCTTTATGCGCATGTTAGAAGAAATCTAGAGGCGTAAGTTTACAAGTTCTGTTGGCTTAACTAACTTGAAGTCTCGGGTAAGACCGCGGCAACCAGCTAGTATGAAGATAAATGTTAGATGCGCTGAACAAGGAAGACCACCTACTGAAAGACACTAACTTATTACCTACGTAAAAATATAAATGGAATAATGGATTCAACGAAATACGAAGACAAGCATAAGGTTCAAGTTGTCTCATGATTTCTTCCGGTGGAGGTGTCACACTAATTTTTAGTGAAGCTTGAGTAGTTTTTTGATGGAACGAATCAAGACAATTTTCAAACATCCATCCTCTTGAACGTTTATTTGATCAAGGTTTAATGCCAAAATTCCAAGATACTCCAAAGATCAATACTTTCTTCAAGAAATCTGCGTATTATCTGCCTGCTCCACATATTCTAAGCACGTCAGACATTTAATTACACAATTTCCTGCTTTCGAGAAATATCGATTACAGCGTTTGACTAAGAAGATGAAAAATCTCAATATTTGAAGAATTAATAAGCAATAAGCTAATAGGTAGTTTTTACTTAATAGTTTTGTTCATTTGAGGATAAGAGAGTATGTCACAAATCAAATAACCTGCTATTATTTATGAGAACTGAACGTGCATGCAATTCGAGCGTCAATATCGTAAAATCTTGAATTCTCAGGAACATGAGCAACTTCGCAGCCGAATCTTCTTGCAATCCTAAAACCCTGAAAAGTCAGGAAGAGATAAACTTCGTTTCTATATTAGAAATTTATAACCACACTTTATAATCACAAAATTCATTGCAAAAGCGACTACGAAAACAAGGACGAAGGATTGGAACAAGGATTGCTAAAAAGCATTAGAAATTACAACTGAGATTTAGTGGGGAGGGAGCGGGGAGGACCAGATTCTAGATTCTTTATTCCAGCTCAATACATTAAAACCCGATATTTCAGGAAATTTTGTGAAACCCATTGCAAGCTGCGATGGACCTATCCGGACAGTGTCTCAGTGATAAATGGTTTGTTTTCAAATATGATATTCATACGCTAGAACATTCTTTTCAAACACAAAGCGTAACTCATTTTTGCGAACGCTCCCTACAAGGTGGTCAAGCCTCCTCCAGCAAACTTTCTTCAGGACATAGAATGAGCGTGAAGAAGGAGCCAGTTGCAAGGGTGCGAAAAAGGTAAGGCTGGATACACGTCAAGACGACGCTCGCTTAACCTCAGACCAGCTTTTCACTCACTTGCAGCCTTTCTGGGATGTTTGGTATCAAGAAGCTGGCATATCAGTTTACTCGGGGAACCGGTACCGTCGATTCATCCACACTGCCTCAACAGGTACAAGCTCGATGCCAGGATTGTGAAGGATACAAGGTATTTTAAATCAGGACAACAGTTTTGATCTTTTGTTTTAAGCCTACAGCCTAATAGCTGCAACGTTGTCTCTGATAAGTTTCAAAGACTTATTCATGATCATGTGTGTACCCTTTGATTCATCGGGAGTGGCGGCTGGAGGGCGGGGCTTCGAGGCCGAATCAGGGCTAGGGAGTGACTGAGAGCACTCTCAAGAGGGAGACGCAGACTGCGCCGCGGGCGCGAGCGGTCGCCTTCCAGCCGCCAATCCCATTAAATCAGAGGGTATGCTATCTATTGTGACGGGAAATTCCTGAATGATCCAAGCACCACACCACTAACAAGGGAAGGATGGTCAGTCGAAGTGGCCTTTTGCGATGTCTTGTACATCATTATGTAGGGCAAAAAACGTTGATTCCAAATCTGTCTTCCTTATCTACGGCGCATTCCTGCACAAGAAGTTATGAGCGTTTATTGGAGAAAAAAATTGAATGTGCAAATAATACAAAAACAGTAAACATTATTCCTAGCGCTTAAACGGACCAGTGGTAATCTTTCCAATACTCTATAAAATAAATACTCTAAGGTGAGATATATCCACACTCCGGCTGTCTCATTCAAGCGCTGGGTAAATTTTAGCCAATGTTTTTATCCCAAAAAATACTCATTTTTTGCTCCTTCAAACGCTCATAACTCCTCCTCCAGGAAAGCGCCGCAGATAAGGAAAATAGATTTGGAATCAGCGTTTTATGCCCTCCACCATGGTATACAATTCATCTCGAAAGGCCACTTCGGCCAACCATGCTTCCCTTGTCAGATGATTTCCATGATCCTCGATAGCGCACTTAGCGGAGCTTACTTTCATGTATATAAACTTCATATTGCAAAAATTACATTGTTTGCCAAATGTTGATACACAGGCTATCAATGTCCTACTTGCCTATAAGGGAGACAAAGCCGACTTTTGTAGTCATCTATAACTCTGAACCGCTGCTGGGCTTATCCTCTGCGAACAATCCGTTGTGGTATCATTTGGCTTTACCAAAGTGGTGCATCGGTCAACTCATCATCTTTCCGGTGCTGACCACCAAAATTTGATGGAAGCCTCGCGTGAGATGCTAATATTCACGATCAAGAGCCTTGCTAAGCGTTAGATCAAATCCCAGCTCCATAAAGGTTTGCCAACTCTTTGTAAACCAAGTTAGCCTATACTCCAACAATAAGCTCAAGGAAACTGTTAAAAAACTGTTAACTATTGACAGAAACCTTCTACTAGGCGTGCCATAGATACCAAATTCGAGACACAGGGTTTGAGTTTCCCGTTAAAGAGCATCAGGTGCAGTGCACTTACAGCGGACAAAGGGTCCGGCAGGATTAGCGAAGATTTGCAGGCCCTCACAAGACGCCATAATTCTCCAGACTTCAGCCTTTGTACGTTGCTGAAAGGAGAATGCCCAGAAGGTGCCTTTGCGAAGTGGCGCAAGGCCGAGCGAGGCGACGGCGAAGGCCTGAGCCGTTAGAGGTGTGCTTTTGAGACAGCGAGTACATTGTTATTGAGGCTCTTGCCACAATTTAAGATAACCGGCCATTGCACACATGGGGTTAGCAAAATTTTGAGCAAATTCTAGGCCGCTCTCACAGAAGCCTGCGATGCAATGATGCAAATCATGCAGGGAAGTCCAGATTTTAGGCCAGCGGTAGAGTCAGCACAGGTCTGTTCCGAGAATGAATTTATTCAGTAGACAAACTCTCAAATATGAAAATTTGTAGCAGTTGGAATATCCTGCTGATAAAGCACCAAGTGAAATGTTTGAAAAAAGCCTGGAAAAAGTGAAAGGTTACTGGTACGATGAAACGGTGAGTACTGTGAGAAATATACCATAGCCAGCTTCCTTCTTCCCATCTCGAGATGTATGAGATATATCAACCTAATTTTTTTTGATGATTGCAACGATTGACTAAGTAAACAGAAAATCACATCTTTCAGCTCATGTCGGAATGCTCGAAACAGTGTAAATTAATAGCGGCAAAAACACGAGAATTACAGAACAGGGGACGACGGCAGCTTCATCTGATAAGAACTTTTATCAACGTTGTTTATTATGAGGTACTTGTACTTCACTTATTAATCCCACAATACATATAATCACTTTCAATAATAAAGTAACAATAGCCGACGCACTATCAGTTGCGCTCCTTACCAATCGCGCGCAATCACCGCAGGGACACTATACTACATAATGATTCTCTGGGTATTTGGACAGTACCATCAAAATTATCATAAATGACCAGCTTGCCTGAACTTCCTTAGGCCCCGGGCAGACTTCACGCGATTTGATCGTCGCGACTGAATCGCGACGAGACAACTGTTATAACAACATTCCATGCCGATCAACTTGCATTCGGTTGTGATACTTTTGCAGCCCGAAATTTTTGAATGTGAAATGAAAATGAATGGAAATCTTGGCGATTAGATCGCGACGATTAAGTCGCGTGAACTCTGACCGGGGCCTTATGCAAATTCTTAAAAAATACTGAGGTGAAAAGTTATATAGTGGGATAGTGTCAGATATTTATCGCCATTTTGAATTAGCGCTCTGTTCTGTCTTCAGTCAATCTGTTTAGTTCGAGGATTTGAAGCGAAACCTTTTGAAGGCCAAGGAGGACCTAGAATATGCGCAAGAAGAACAGAAGAAGGCAGATACTGCTGCGCGAAAGAAGAGCACCAAAAAAGCTCAGGAAAAGTACGACAAAGACTTGAAGGCGGTGAGAGCTCACACTGCAAAGGAAAAAATTTTACTTATTATTTTCTTCATTCAGCTTGAACAATGGCTGGACCAGCTTCCCAAAAAGAAACTGGAGCACATGAAAGAGATTCAGGCAATTATGGTAGAACTACAGGTACATGTGTTTAGAAAGATATTTATATCTAAGCGAGTCAATGCACGCAGAGACAGGGCGTCACTGCAGATGCCGTCTGTGTCTCGCTGACCAAACGCTGTTTCATCCTTCTTGTCGTCTGCTGCCTCCTCTAACTCAAACTATCTCACGCAGGCGTAGCGGCGTACAATCTCTGCGTACGAAGACTTGCGACATTATGTGTAATCAATCAAATGAATTGCAATTTTCAGTCATATCATGATTGGATGGCTTCGTACTGTCGACCGCTGGCTGCTTACAAGGTTCCTCGCCCGCCCAACCTCTAAATTGTTCCTGAAGATTCCCTAAAAAACCCAAAAAAAGCAAACCAAGTCATATTCTTCTGTAATAAAAGTTGTTTATCATGTAAAGCGCATTATAACAACAAAGGCAGTTCAACAAAGCTGGCAAATTGTAGTTTTTCAGTCAATCTTGTGCATATGTCTCGAACGCTGGATACTCCCATTTCCAGCTAGTCACAAGGTTTTCTGGCGTGTCCATATATAGTCCATCCGGCTTTATGAACCTGTAATCACCATTGTATGAGTGAGATATTGCAGTTAATCAACACTTTCGTGCTGCTGACATCCCATCTAACATCAGCACGCCTCTGCAATAGACTCTGGTGCTTCCTACACTTTCGTAAGTTTTTTTTTGTTGATAAAGTATATTATTTGAGATTTTGTCGCCGAAATCCAGAATGCTGGAAAGAGGTCGTCGCTCAAGTCCGGCGTAACTTATTGAGTAAAGTTATAGTGAGATCACTGCAGCGAAAATCTCGCACAGAACCTTGCTACTCCTCTCGTCATCTTCGGTTGGATTGTCAAAACTCCATAAGATTCATATAAAGTTGACATAAGTAATGCAACTTTTTGAATAACTCTCGTCTTCTTGAATATGGTGCATTCATTCTTTGTACGGTGAGGACTATGATGCATACTATAAAGGCAGCTATTGCTGCGAAGCATCTGAATCAGCCAGGTTTCTGCACAGCGGAGTAAGTCGACATGCTGAACACGAAATCATATTCATCTGTTGCTAAGTGAGAAATCATACTTTAGCATTACGAAAGAGGCCCTTTCCTGCGGAACCGGGTATCATTTTTGGAATTAGCATGTTCAATACCCCCCCCCCCCGCCTTCCCTAAAAGTTTCAGCAAAATCCCAAAGCAGTAATTTACTTCTCCTTATACGGTAAACCTACCGCTACCCTGATGCCCCCACAAATTTGGCGCATTTGACTTGTTCAAGTTCTCGAGAGCGCCAGATCTCAATTCGTCTTCACACTTCCTTTCTTTGGACTGGGTTCGATGGGTCGTCACCTTTAGTAACATGCTCCTACAGTTCCGTCATGATGTGTCTATTCGGGTTTTGCACGGCTTCATTTTTGCTTGAAAACCTTGAAACTTAGTTTTCAACAGTTCTTAAAACATGCTTAGACTTATTATGCTATCGAACATGAAACGGCCTGCGCTTCTTGTAGCTTACATCACGATCTATACAATGCCGAAAAAAATGAGAGCGCTACATTGAGAAAAAAGTCAGGAAGAAAGTTGCAAAATCTATCGAGCTAATATGCTACCAGGACGATTAAATAGCTTTTCCGTCCAGTACTCTGGAATTTTGAAGATATATTGGATGTATTCAACGAATTAGTTTTGTAAGCTGTCATTGGTCCTTCTAGAATTTAATTTGGCGAATACGATACAGTTCCACCATGAAATTAAATGAAGCAATAGCTTAATCTCTACCATATTAATTACATAGAATGCCGCCTCCTGATTAGTGATTATCCTTCAGGCCCAAGGCATACCTAACGGAACGATTCTTCATCGTTGGACGTGAAGCGCTTTGCTGGGGCAAGACAGATGAGTCTGTGACAGTATGCAGAAGCTACGCTTCGCATATAAGAGTTGCGCAAGTAATTAAAGGCAGTGGATTCACAAAACTTAACAACCCAGAATTTTGACGCGGTAAGTTGCTTATCACCCAAGTAGGGGAACAGTGCAATCTCGGTCGCAAAGCTGCCTTTCCTACCAAAAAAATGCTCTAAAACTTACACTCTCAAGCCAATTTTACACGCGCTCGGACAAGTTGACAATTCTCTTTTCGCCATTAGGGGTTGCCCACCGCAATGCTATAACCACTGGGTCTCGCAACGATTCAGCGTCTTCGGCCTTGCTTCACAGATAGGGGAACGAACTCCGCCATTTTGAACCGCCTTCGCGGAATACTGGTCCCGCAACGATATGAAACTATATTGTAAAAGGAACAATTGCCAGCGAAGACGGGTTTAAGCCGGCGGTTCGTTTCCCTACCCTCCTCCACTCGTTCAATTTCAAAGGGAAGGACATTGAAAAACGGTCGTTTTCGCCAAGCTTACTTCCAAGCTCTCTGAGGTGGATTCTCGGGATCAGCGCATTGATATTCCCCAAGTAAGCGTTCACTAGGTTAAGATTTGCCGATCCACTGCCTTTAATAGCAAAATGCCAAACCGCGGGGTTTCAACGTTCTGATGGAATCGATGGAGGTATGTCTTGGGCTCAAGTCCTGGGAAAATCGCGCGCGATCTCGGAAGTCACGCGGCTCGGCAATGCGCCAAATATGATAAAATTTAAATTACTTTATACAGGGTTATTCATGCTATGCAAATGATGCCGGATAGTGATGCATATGAAGCATACCTTCGGTAGCCCAGAGATAGCGTCTCTCAATTCAAGGTAGTTTGGATCTCCGCTTCATAAAAAAATAGGTTGTCGAAGACAGAGATGAGAAAAGCTTGTAAAGCAAATGAAAATGCAGGTAAACCATGAAAACTTGGTAGAAATGCTGCAGCGAGTTGATATCTTCCCTCAACGACACGAATCGCAGGTTTTCCCCTTCAGGACCCATGATCTGCAGCTCTATGCAAAAACGAGGAGCTACTCCCTTTTCTGTGATTCTATTAAAGATCACCAGGAAGTGGCGATTGCCAGGAAAGAGATAAACAGGAAAATGCTATATAAACGAGTGTTTTTTTTTTCAAATTTTGCTTTCTTAGAGTTCGGCTATCGGACTACCCTTTGATCAACGAGATCTGCGGCTAGAAGGCGACCTCTCGCGCTCGTGACGCAGCCTACGTCTCTCTCGCGAAGTACTCTCTGATCATTCTCTAGCCTTTTTAGGTCAAGTAGCCCCGCCTTCCAGCCACCAAGTTGAATCAAACATGGCTTTATGTATTGAAGGTTAGAATTTTCTCAGACAGTCGAAGGGATACCTCCGGCGGGCAAATGGCGAGAGTCTGCTACTTCGCTGTGGAGCACTCCAGAGCCCTGCCATTTCACCGTTTTGGTGTTCCGGGGCTCTCCCAAATCTGGCGCACCTCCGGCGCAGAGATTTGCGCGTCCCGGAGAGGGGTCCCATTCGTTCACCGTGACGTCACAAGCAGGCGGAGGTATCCCTTCGACTGTCTGAGTTAGAATTGCGCTGTCGTTGATCGCTGGAGTATTTGGCTTCACCCCCCCCCCCCCCACCCCTCCTTGTCCTCCTCCCCCTACAAGTATCTTTCGTCAGATTTGGTGCACAATTGAGACACTGAACACTGGCTCAATAGTTCGAATTTACTTCCGTCTGAATTCGTGAAATGGAAGATTAGTCGACTAGCCCAAGACGTTAATTAGTTGACAGCTTCAGAATGCGATAACCCCTTTCACGCGCTTTCCAGTAATTAGGCGCCACCATTCTACCTTCTTATAAGGAACGACGATGAATCACGAGAACCAATGAATCTCCATGCTTTTTCGTGGGCTAATCGAGCCTGTTAGACACGAACTACTCGTATGCGTGTTTTTATGCTATCCATAAAATCCTCGAAAGTCATTAGAGCCACGCGGAACGATGAATCTCGTCTAGTGTCGGCGTATTTCATTCACTCGGCTCGTGCTCATAAAAGCGTAATTTTCGTGTGCTTTGCTCTTTGTTATTGAGTTTTTTTTGTCATTTTTATTCAGTCTGAAAAAATCATCTGGGGCAATCTACTGTATTTGTGGTCGCATTACGAAAGAAAAACATGCCTGGTTTCATCAAACCTAATTAAACTCTACCGCTGGAATTTCTATGAATTCCAAGATCACAACCACCTACAAAAACCTTGGAAATTCTTTCGAAATATCTATAAATTGCTGGATGGGTCACTCTATGGATCATGTTAAAGAGAGATATAGTCGATTCATTTCATATGATCATGTGTGTCACTGCACACATCGTCCAACTTTGGCGTCCCCATCCTGGAATGACAATCGCAAACACGCAAGATTTTGGACAATTCTTATCTCTTACGTTACTTTGAGGTGATAACTATCTAAAAAGGAAGGAAAACATTGAGAACATATCAAAAAGATTCAGCTGCAGGGTTGTCTCCTCCAAAAATCCTGGATGGGAACGCAAAAAAGGACCGGTGTGTGCAGTGACACACATGATCATATGAAATGAATCGACTGTATTTATGAATTTGAGTGGTATTGATTTGGATGAGTGATTCATTGAATTTTTGCGATAAATAAAGTAAGCATTACAGTTCTAAGTTGTTGAATTTATTGAGGACATGGCGAGTAGCTGGTTCAAAGAGATAACCAGCAGAGTTATTTGGGATGGTCTGAATGAATTATAATATTTATTAGGTTGATTCAGTATTTTGTTCGCAGCGATTTTAAAAATCGTCACTTCTTTTCGATAGGATTTGTTTGGCATAATTTCACAGTTGAAATAAAGAAATCATGATAGTTTTGAGGCTAACTTGGTTGCTTTTTTCCAAACAGAGGCTGTAGATTCAAGAATGTTAAACGAAGATTGGAATTTTGGCTATCATAACTAAGTTCTGAACTGAAAACATTGCAAAAAAGAACAGTCGCAAACATAAACTTGCGATCACTTCTTTTTAACTAAGCAAAGTTCAGGATAGTTTAATGTCCTCATGAAATGCTATGATTCTTGAGGAAAAAGGATCTTGTATTCAATTACTTTTTCCTTCCTTTTCGCAAAGTAAGCCCAAACGTGTGTCATATACAGTCTCAGGTTTCCGAAATAAGTCTGAGTTATTTCAAAAATTTGCCCATAGGGGCCGACATGTGACAAGTTCTACCGTTCGCTCATCTTCACCATAGTTCTCCTTCGAGCTAGCTTGGACTAGATGTCTCGCAGATTTGGTCTCAAGCTCACTAACTTGAAGGCTTTAGTACAAGAGTTACTTTCTGCAAGGATACGATGTTTCTGTGGCAGTTTCCAATAAATAATGCATAGAAACGACATTGTGAATTGAAAACTTATGGTTTTTGGCTTCTGCTAAACCTGCGAGTTGTCATACTCCATAACAATACATTCAGTAAATTTAGTGTTACAAAGTATGACCGGCAATACCTGAGAATTTGTTATTAGAATGGGCTCTTAATCGAAATGTGCAAAACAAAATCGAGAAAGAAGATTAACCATTTTGAGAGATGCAAAGAAAGAGCATTTTACTACTTTCTATACGATTTGAAAGGCTACAGCTTTCATCGATTGTGAAATTTTCTTTAAATTCCAAGAAAAGTTTGAAGGGCTATTACCTTGTAACCAGAATTGTATCTGGCAGATGAAAAGCATGAGACCTATCTTACTTCACTATCAACAGAGAAAAAGAGAGAAATTGAAGAGAGAAATTCTTAGATTCAGGTTCAAATGGTTTCCTTACGCGATAAATTTGTAGCATTTTTTCTACCTTGAAATGTGAGCTTCGGGCAATAAAAAGAGAAAATATTAAGTTTGTAGATATTTCCCGTTTCGTCCCTTTCCTTAAACGGAATTTCAAATTTCTAAACCCTCCCTGAGAGTTTTATCTCACACAGTTTACACAAACCTGTCACTTCTTTGAGCTTTTCTGTAAGGCGTAATAATTAGAGATTTAGCCATTTATTTTTTTTGGAATCACTTGCAATGATAGCTTTTTCTTGCTTGTTTACATTAGTTTTAGTTCCGGTTTTTTGATAAAAGACAAGCAAAAACATTCGGCGCATTTGTAGTGTTTGCAAAAATATTTGTAGCAAGGTTTTCTGAATTGGCACAAATAAGCAAGAAATGCAAGATTCAAGAATAAACATTTGTGGAGACTTCAAATAGTTTGAAAAACGTTGGACACACACAGATATACCCCCACAAGCTCTTTTGAACTCAGTATGATATACCTTGTCATTACAAAACGTTTTCGTATTAAAGGAAGGTTTATTTTGATTTTATTATGGACTTGACCGTATGATCACATAGGCAATCAATCAGCTAGCGCTTTAAGCTATTTTTTGTATAAGATGCAAAGTCAATAATTCAATCATAAACCCTGCTTACTTGCATTCATCGTTTAGAGTATACCCAGAAAATCTGACTTCCACCCGTTCATTTATTATCTCTGATAAAATCTATATGCAATTTCATTCTTCCTTTGACTCAGTACTTATTTACTCTCCACTCATCCAAGTAGAACATCAACGAGTAATTTCATCAAATTGATATTCATTCTCAGCCGATAACATTATCAAATGATTTGCTTCTGATAGTTTCTCAGCCAGGACTGGGCACGAGGTGGCTTTTGAAAAATGCAAAACGAAGTCTCCCTTGATTTTCGCGAATTTTTACGGTTTGATCCTCAACCTTAAAGTAAAAAATCCTCAAAAAATGAAACGTCGACTAAAAAAACGTCACAAATTATGTGTCTTTTCGGCCTTAAAAGCGATTCCCCCTTTGCTTTTTGTCCCAAAAACGATACCCAGCCTTTGCCGAGCCCTGTTCTCACTTCTAGTTCCCCTTTTTTTGCCAAGTATAATATCAAGTAGTTGAAAATGTATATACTATGTAAGCCATTAAATATTCCAAGAGAACTTTTTGAACTTGGTGGAAGTTCTGTGGTATTGGCCATACATCTGAACATAATTTTTATGGGAAGTTTCTCACCCTTTCATTCTCGCTCCTAGAAATTGTTTTTTCTTCTTTTTTGGCCCTAATTTACGAAGTAATAATTATTGTACTTGGAATTAACTGGTTGTCATTGGTAAAAATAGTGCGGAAAGAGTGAATTTTTCAACAACATTTCCCTTAACTAATGCATACGATTTACTTTCTGAATGCAATAACAATTGGAGATTATGTACAAACGCACTTATGGAAAGTAATTTAAATAGAAAACGAGGTTCCTGATTGCCTAATGGCTTTGTTGTCCGTGGTTTTTATGTGAGATTTTGAGCAAGAGAATTTCCTTACTTTCCTATTGCTGTTACTTTACTCTAGCTCAAATGAGCGCTTTGATGAGCCAAACATATTATGGTTGGTTGAGCGGAAAACTAGATTTCTCCTGGTATTTGAATCATAGCTATTTCGATAGTCTTGTATAGATGGCTTCTCACTTGTTTCTAATGTAAATTTATCAAAAAATCCGAAATTTGATGCAGATAGCTCTAGGCTCCCATTTTTTTCACAACCTTTTTCGTGCTTTTTTCGTTCCTTTTTGCCATTCCTATTCGTTTTTTTTCGTTTTTTCAAAATTCTTCCTCTTTTACTGTATCCATCAGAGGTTCTGATTTACAATAGTGCTAGTTTTCCTATTGGCCACGCACTAATTAATCTATTCTCCGAACACGTGTAGCTATGGATAGACAATGACATCATAATTGCAGGAAGAAACCTATTTTTCCCTCCATGATAGAGCTTGCATGGTCACGCATGCGGGCAAAATAGTAATAAACTTGCTCACAAATAGATTTTCTACCTTCTTCCAGAAAATTTCTATTGCATCTCTTGCGAGGACAACAATATTTGAAGTTCCATATATGTGAATTTGTGTAATTTTGCTAATTTAATATGCAGTTCATCATCTTCAGCAAAAAGCAAATCTATAACGCTTCATCTTTTTCCTAAATTTTTTGTTCACGAAAAGTTCCTAGCATTTTGATTAGTTTCATCAGGGGACCTTACATGGCTAACACTCTTCTCCCTAGTTTTTTTGTTCTGCTTTTCAGCCACTTTCGTGTCTTACAAGAGATCCAGGAGAGTAAAAAACTACATATTCTCTGCATCACAGCAATTATGCGCAAAGCTATAAAGTTTAAAAAAAGTAGAAGTGTGACTTGCAAGCATTTTTGAGTTTCCTTTGCTGACGAGAAATGACGAATCAAGGCGGTCTCAGATTTCTTACGAGGGAGGAACAGCTAGAAGATTGGAGCCGAAATTCTGACATGAATCAAAGTCATTTTGCCATACTGGTTTTCATTCTCATGAATTTGAAAATTTCAAGAATCAGTCATAACTCAATTAATAATCAATCAATGATTCAATATTTTATGTGTATCACAAATTGCATTTCCAATTTGTGGATAGTACACTTGTAGTTTTGTTGAAATATTTTGAATATTGAAGAAGAAAATGGAAGCAGTTTAGTCTATATGGGACTTGTGTCTACTCAGACAATTCACCGGAACTTCCGTAGGGCAAGCAGAGTTTGCAGCGGTTCCGCAGGATTTTGTTTACTGTTGCAAAAGTGGAAACGTTGGAAATGGGAACTTCTGCAGGACTTCACGTTAGACTGGATGAAAACGGGTAATTCCGTATACAAAGCGCTGCGGAATTCCCGAAAAATGCCAGCATTCCGCAGCACTTTGACATGCCGTACTTCCGCAGGTTTTTGAATGTTGGCTAATGTGATGTTGTCTCGCCAACAACTAGAGTGCATTATCGAACATGTCAGTCGTAGTGGGGAAGTAGTTGAGTCTTACAGTCAATAGAGTAAGGTTTAAATCTCGGTTCGGTGTTCTCTTTTGCTGTTGTGGTTCGCATTCTTCGAAACTTCCGCAGCACGTTTACAGAACTTCCGCAAGTGACCCGGCGGAACTTCTCTAAACGTTTGCGGAAGTTCCGGTCAGTTGTCTGAGTAATTCAACCTTCAAGATCCTTCACTAGTTGCCGAGGTGATTACAAATGTATTCATTTGTAATATATTCTATTTTTCTTAGATCTTCACGAATTTGTCATTAATCCTTTGTAACACTTCGTTAAAACACCAAAGACATGTTCATCCTGTCCGATATTTCTCACCCCTCCTCCAAACTGCATATTTTTTCAGCACCTTCAATCTTTGCAGAAACCACTGAACAATCATGTCGTGTCAATCATCTTGCTCCAGCGAATGTTGCTAAGTATCCTACCCTACCTCACCCCGTCCACCTACACGCTCAATCATAAGTTATGAAACTCACCAAGTAATGTTCCGCTTGCTAGGAGCTTCTCTTCCATAAACATCAAAATTCTCGGAAAATCCGAATAGACCATAGGCATCACACCAGAAGTGGCGATTTCCTAGAAGTATATTTAGAAGCTAAAACTAACCAGTAAGTAAAAATAATAGACAAGATTATTCAATCTAGAAGATGAAAAAATTTTCTTGTGAAAGTCAAAACGTATTCCAAGTCTATAAAGACGGAAAACGAATGTGATGTTTTTGTTTTTCTTTTGTTTAGTTCCTTCTTCTTATTTGTTCAGGACCGAGTATCTGTTCCTGTCTTCCTGTGGTAAGGAATACCTACCATTTATCTTATTCATATTTATCTATTTTAATTAAATTCATTCATATTGTCTTTTGATTATTTCTCAAGAATTTTTGCTGAACTTCTGTCATTACATAAAAGTGCTGTTATTACATAAAGGTGTCCGAAGCACGAAAGAAATCTGATGCCACTTTTTTCCTTATTCTTGACTATTCTCAAGTGGACCCTCTCCTAGCAAACACTTGACGAGCGTGGTAAATTATCTCATCGTGCGGTGTTGAGTTTACTAGGCCTTACCAGGACTAATATCGCGCTTTATTAAAGAACAGCAAATCGACCACAAAGAAATCCCACTAGCACGTCATACCTCTCCATTTTAGGCGTCAAAATTAGGCTTTATTGTGTTGTTGACGCATTTCTGGTGCCAAGTCTCCAAGAAGAAAATTCGTAAGTGGTTGTGCTGACGTGTACACACTTATAATGGGGTTTGTTTTCTCTACAGCCCTTACTAGGCTCCTGCTCTCCTTTATAGGCGAAGTCCATGCAGATCTGGACACCTGATTGTCCTTTTGGGACCTAATCGGGGAGTTCTTGACTAATTCATTGCCCAAGCTGCAGCTCATAAGATCCATTCGTGGCTGAAAAATTTGCTTCTAAGTTTTAGTCCAGGACCGTATTCTCCACCGTATCTCAAGGAGAAGAATACGGTAAGGGCAAGAGTTTAGAGCTAATTTTATCAACCTGGAGAAGATTGTATGAGCGGCTATTTGGGCAATAGTTCATTTGCCCCAATTCTTTCATCATATCCTCTCCTCCCCCCCCCCCCGTTTCATCAGGTTGTCCGGACCCTGACTCCACCCTGATTGGGGAGGCCGTAGCTAAATTCCAAGCGGTAGCCCATAGGATAGTTTATAGCAGAGAAATCTCGCTGTTGACTTTCGCCCAGTACCGTAACCTCCACCGTGTTCCTGGGGGGAAGAGTACGGTATGGGCGAACACTTAGAGCCAAGTTTTTTTTCCACGAGTGACTCAAATAAACTGCCGATTGAGCATTGGATTCTTTGAAGCCCTCTAACCTGTCTCTGGAGTCCAGGTGTGCGATTTGAATGAACGCTAATCTCTAATCCAAAATTTCCAAAACCCCGCGTAATTTTTATCGGCCCCGACATCAGTAGCCTTGCCATGCTTGATTGAACTTTAATTAGGTCCAGACGTGATTTAGCCTCAGTATTAGTGCCTTTACGAACTTACCTCGGTCAATGTCCACAAATCTGTAACGAAATTGATGATTCGGAGCTAAGAATACATCTCGTTTATCTTGCAACACCGATTGACATCGTATTCGCACGTTTGCATCGCAAAGGTTTACCACACCAATCTTAATTCCACTTGATTAGACTTTTTTTGGTGTGAATGAAATGGGACAAAATTTCAGAAAATTCTAGAGGCTTCCAAAATTACCTCATTCTTCTTTCTTCCTCTAGCTATAGCTTCTGGAAACGTGATCATCACCATCGCGAGCACTAGCAATTGCATCCTAATCATACTAAAACATTTTTTGTTTAAGAAGTAAGAATTCTCGAAAAGAATAGGAAAACGCGTGGTCGAAGGTTATCGAGCGAAAGTCTGTTTCGCGAATTTTATGCCCCTATAAAAGAAAATAAAAAGTCCTCCGTTGAATATGCTCAGCAGTGAAAATTGAACTGTATGCTTTAGTAGTGAGTGCTTACTTTTCCTTTCTGCAATTGCACAACGGCTTCTACCGCGTGTTCGTAAATTTTTGGTACTCGCTAATATTCCGAAACTATAGTTTTCGAGACCCCGCGAAGCAGCAGTTACAATACAAATCTCCACTTTTGAGCAAAAATTTTATTGAAGGCAGCATCCAATTAAATTTTCGTCCATGTTTTTGATTTTGAGGCTCTTCTGTGGCCCTGATTACAGATTTGGAACACAAAGCGTGCACCCCCCCCCCCCCCCCAAATTTTAGGAAGCCCCTTCCTGAAGACGCAGGAAACTCGCAGTACCTGGGTAGGCGGAGCTTGTAAGGCGGACGTGGCTTGATAGCACTATTGCAGGTTCCAGGTCCATTTTTTTTTCATTTAAAGGCAGCATTAGAGGACCGAGTCAACGCAGATCTACTCATAGGGCCCTCACGTAGACCAGGAACTAATCGGGGGAGCTAGATTTTGCATGATGCTGCAATCAAGCCTACTAGGTGTACTGTAAACGCGAATTGCTATAAATTTTCGAAATTGTTGAAAAAAGGAGATTGGAAACATGTCATTTTAAATCATGACTCATCATAAATTTCTTGGCAGTTTTTAAAATCTATGATTATGTTACAGGAAGCCATAATCATGAGACATATCAAGGTAGTGTGTAATTGCACATAAAAAGTCTAGATTATTTGTGTTTTCCCATCAGATGAGCAAATTTATGTATAAAAGAAGTGTAATTTATTGTAATGTTCAGTAGATTAAAGTTATAGTTGTGCGCAATCAGTGTAGTTAGGTTGAGTCATTTATAATTCTGATTGTTCCCCTTTATTCAAAAGTTCGCTTTCTAGTTTCTCCTTATCGAAGGATATTTTTCAATGTTTGATAGCAGTTGCTTGATCACAATCAAAAGCTCTCATCATACCGTAAGAAATAAAATGACTAAAATTGATTTTCCCTTTTTCAATTCGATATTCATGGTTCGCTATCTATAATTCCACATATTATATTTTCTTACGATATTTTTGGCGGAGAAATCAAATAGCAGGAAAATACTTCTATATTTTATGAAAAAGAAAAAGAATATTTGGCTGACCATAGGTGTACGAAGACCTAAGATGACAAATGATTGTGTAAACCATCAGAATCAATGGGATTGTAGAAAATGGGATGTTTGCATAGGATTTGCCCTTTCCTGCACGCAATAGTGCGTACGATAATTGGCATGAATTCCATAGTGTTAACAAGGGCGAAAGATTCTTACGAAAATGCGAGGATTTCGTGCCACTGATAAAAAGATTACAGAACTTTATTTGAACATCGTAAGCGACCTATTCATTAATTCTGGAATGTGTAGGCACAGACTGACCTTATGCTCCCGAGCGAATTTTGAAAAATAAAAGTAAGTTACTAAAGCGAAATGTGAGCTATAAAATGGTTGAAAATAATCAATAAATATTACACTGTGCACAATCACCTTGTCGATTTTCCTGCTTTTTTAAATTTTTTTCAGAATTGAATAATAATCAGTATTTGAAGCTTCTGATGCATAATTTTTTTTCCTTCTTGGAGGGTTTGACTGAATGATTCACTATCGCTATGATCGTTGCAGTTTGAATGCAAATTTTTTATCAGGATTTTTTCTTATTTCTCGTTATTTCGTGCTGAAAAAAAATGGTGAATCGATGGACCAAACTTTATGCTACGTCATTTGCCTAAAATCACAAAATATGCACGATGACACTTTTTCTTTATCTTTCAAGAAGAAAACGAGTATCAAAAAACCTGTTTCTGTTTTCTAATTCTTTCCGGACTTATTTTCTTTTTTATGACTAATAATTGTAGGGTGCATCTTTTCGATTACTATACTATCGAGATGTGCATTTGTATTATAGTTTATGTTATTATTGATAAAAACAGGTCACCAAATCGGACCGCTAAAACAAATTTTTCTTCAACAGTAAAAAATCACAACGTCAACGTATCTTTGTCAGGTTCAAAGTTTTGAGTTGTAGTGGTCTAAAAGGATGATATACAGGGTTTCCGTAAAGTATGTATACACTGTTTGATCGTTAATATCTCTTTTCCCAAGAAGTGTTTCGCCTTGCCTCAGGTACCATTTTGTAGGGCTGGCTTCAACTTAGATCTACAGTATAGAGCGAATCGTCCATCCTTCTCCTTTACTGTAGGATTATGGTAGAAAGTTGAAAGAGGGTTTTGGGCCATGAAAGGCCATATTTTGCCTCGGAAAGGAGACAAAACAGCCTGAAAACTTTTACACTAGGCTAATCAGAGTTGTTGATTCTAATTGTAAAGTTCTCAACTTATTATGATGCTTCATTGAAGAGTTATGCCAGGTAAGAGGTAGAGGCCATTTTTTCAATGTTCCTAAAAAGTGCGGTTACACCGTTTAGAAAGCTTCGCAATCTTGTGAATATGAGTATTGAACTCAGCGTCCATAAAAACCCTATTACACAAGTTTTCACATTTTTCTAAAAATTTTGAAACTGCAGCTTTTTCCACATTGACACCATATGTTTCAAGTTTCTACCGTAATCCTACAGTAATGAAGAGAAATGGGTGATTCGTTCTATACTGCAAATCTAAGTTGAAGCCAGCTCTACAAAATGATACCTGAAGCAAGGCAAAAGACTTCTTGGGAAAAGAGATATTAACGATCAAACAGTGTATACATACTTTACGGATACCCTGTATATTATAGCATGTTATGTAGATTGTTTGTGTTTCAGAAACCTTCTTACGCTGTTGCCTAAAATCAGATCTCTCTAATTTTTTTGTCGAGAACGATTTCTAGCCAACTCAAAGCAGTACCGAACTCGCATAATCTGAAAATTTTTAAATGCATTCAACGGAATTTCGCTTTCCATTCCCTAATCATATGCTTGCACTTAAAAGGAAGGTCCGATCAGTCGAAGTGGCCTTTCCAAATACGTTCTCTACCACTTTGAAGAGCATCAAACGGTGATTTCAAATCCGATTTTATCATATGCCGAGCCCCTCTGCATGCCGAGTTATGAACATTTTCTTGGGGAAAAATGAGCGCATAATCCTGGTAAAATCAAATGTTACGGTCTTTTCAGCGCCGAAATAGAGGAGTGTTAAGTGTGATTGTTTTGGACAGAAGTTATACTTCAAATAGAGGGCTCTGACAATCAACGATGGACATTTGAGCAATTCTGACGAGTTTTGTTCCAGTTATGCATTCAATTTTTCAACTCAAAAAACGCTCATAACTCAACGTCCAAAGGCGCTTGGCAAATAAGGAAGACAGATTTGGAATCAGCGTTCGATGTTCTTCATAGTTGTATCAGTTCATGTGAAAAGGACACTTCGCCCAAACGGACCTCCCTTGTTAGATCTTTTACGCTGATTGGAATCAGTGAAGCCCGAATACGCTAGAAAAGTCTTTCACATTCTTCTAACATTCTTCGATTGTGAGAGCTTCTCTATAATTTCTTCTTGATTCAACTGCGAATTGATTTGAACATAGACTGCGATAAGAGCAAATGCCCAAACAAACCGTAAAAAAATGAATTAAGAGTCTCGAAAAGAATGGATGTCACATTTAAGTTTTATTGCGAAATTTTTCTATCGCCTTTTTTGTGGAACTTTTGTTCCGATATTTTCTCGGGAATTTAACATTTTCCTGGTAAAATCTTGTATAGTGCTAGCAGTTGTTGATCGCCACAATTGGTGAATTCTCCACGATGAGCTGCAATTGCTCGATACAATCCAGAACTTGATTATTCCTTGGGGCAAAAGAAGTGTGCGTCGAGTTGCTTCAGCATCATCTATTGCTTGATTCTGGGCTAGCTGGTCGTAAACTATTTCTGGAGTTCGAAATTTGCGCCAATACTTCTCTATACTTTTTCTACAAAGTGTTTTTATCAATAATATTGTTCCTATCACCCAGTATTTTTAGAGTTATTGATATCATTAACCATTTTTCTAATTATGAATATCAAAAATATTATCCCTAATGTCATTGGAGCAATAAAGTATTTCACACTGTCAAACGGCTGGTGATAGGGAATCTACGGTAAATATACCCTTAGGTCAGAAGTGATATCACCAAAATAGTTTAGATCTAACTTGCTGAATGGTACATAAGATTAGACAGCTCATGCAAGGTCACTCTTGAGTTCTCTTTTTTATGAATGGTATCGGATATTATGATATTTTCATTTTATGAAACGAATCGAATCAAAGCAGTAAAGTGAACCTGAACTCTTCGCATTAAAGGATATAAGTGAATTTTTGTCTATCTATTGCTCAATCATTTAACCTTGCCTTGGTGCACCGACATGAACATGAAAACATAAAAAAATACGACGGAGCAAGAAATGCGCTACGAATTTCAGTTTATTTTCGTCATTTTTTATCTCATTATTAATTTTAGATCTCAGCAATAGAAAATTAAGATTTTCCACAATATCTTAGCAAAAGAGTAGCGAAATAGCAAAATTTGAAAAACCTGGGTGAGATGGAAAATTGCAACAGTATTGGGTTTCAAGCTAGTTCACGCACTAGCCAATCAGCCGTACACTCGGTAATCAAATTCTCAATCTAGGCTGTTCTATCCCTGAACGTGCAAATTTTGTGCTATTCTCTGCAAAATTCCTGAAAATTATTAAGCGACGCAAATCTTTACTAAACAAATAAAAAAAACACAGGTTTACTCAGAGGTCTTCTATGGGAAAAATCTTGGAACTTCAAATGTTAATTGTGCTCAGAAAACTCAGAAAACAGAAAGAAATGATGAAACACTCTTGTATT